CAAGTTGCTCTTGCTTGGAGGCATTACGTATCATGTGGCGCGTGGGATAGATAGAGAGCTCGGAAGTAACGTGGCGTGTATAATATATCGTTAATATTCGCGTTCCGAGCCAACTCGAGAATACGGGCCGAAGCGTCTTAAGAGTTCAACGTTAAAAACGTGCACAGTTCTCGTTTAATGTGCCTTTCACTGGTATGGAATGGACGCCGCCGAGATGAGAGTGACGTCATCGCGAGACGCTGGAGCGTCTCAGTGCCCGTGACCGTACTCTTCCACCTCGTCAATCCTGGCATCGGAGGGCGTTATGGTGATAATTTGACTGGTACCTCTTTACCGCAACGAAGTCGGCTTCAGTTGGCCTGCTGAGAACGAAAGTTGAAATTTATGATGTTGGTGGACTTCCAACAATAGTCCTACAGTAAAAATGTGTCTACGACGTACTAGCATTAGTAGTGATCGATGTCATCAATATTAGTAACGATGTGTTACATGTAGATATCCTAATTAATCAAGTCACACTTGCCGAATTAATCTGAATATCAACGTCGCATTATCAATTTTATTGACCGCTCATTGCCCCTGCGTCTGATTATGTCATTTTGAGGGAACCGGCCCATTCGGGGGGGGGGCAGGCGTTGCAGCTAAGGTTTGACTGCCGTTGCGCCCCGCCTGTTGCAGCATGCAGGAGTCAGCAGCGGCCGGCGCAGAGGAGGCGGCGGCGGGACGCGCAGAACCGCGCACGCGCACGACACGGCGCTCGAGCGCCGTGCCGAGGCGCGGAGGCGGCCGTAGCGGGGCCGGCCGAGAGCGCGTATCGCGGCCACGCGGCCCGCGCTCCGCCACCGCATCCCGCCTTCGGCCCCCGCACGGCCCCCGCCCGGAGGCTCACCAGCGCCGGCGCCCCGCGGCGCAGTGATGAGCGCCGCCGCCCCCAGGTGAGCCCTGCTACCGCTCCCGCCCCGCGCGCAACCTTAAGCTTTGCGGTATCAAATAACCGCCTCAGATGTCGGACTTTGAAGAAATTTCCCCGGTCCGTTTCCTCGTGCGGAATGCCATGCCCACATTCATGAAACCCGGGGAGTGAGGGTGCTCGCGTGGAAAATGAATTGCAGTTGACTCTCATTCGTTATTCAGTATGCGAGACCTAACTGACACTCGAATATCTCCAACCTGGGGTAACCTGTGCGCTATAGAGTTATTTTTTTTAAACAACACTTAGTCCATAAATGTGAGATATTTGAGATCATGAATGAACTGTGTGCTGGAGCGATTCGTAGTCGCTGTTTATGTTGCACTGTATTTTTAGTAAATAAAATCTAGCCCTGACGCGTAGTATAACTCACCCCTCGAAATTGTTTAGTGATTTTTTATGAAAGAACTTTAGGTCCATAGTAATACACTTACTTATCGTAAAAGATTTCAAATCCTCTCAATTAAAAGAAAAACTATTCCGTATACACACCCACCTTTCTTTTCGCTCTCCTAAAAAATTGATGTTTGGGGTTATTTACTGGTATTATTGGTCTGGTTTGTGAGGGAAGAGTTAAACATTCAATTCCTGAAAGAAAAGGAAAAATTTGGAAGAAGTTCAAATATCAGGCAAATTCATTGGTGACGTCAATGAGTGGATGGAAATGCCAGTGAATCTAGTGAGTGTATGTTATTATTCTCACTTTAAATATCTACTTGTTACGTCTGACCTTTGTAATGACAATAGTTGTTTCATAAATCATATGTATCAGATGGATCAGCAGAGTACGATGTTTCGGTGAGCTTGAGGATTAATTTAGTATTACTTACCTAAGAACTGTATAATAATTTAATAATTTAAATTAAATAATGAATATATTAAAGTTAATGTGTAAATTGTTGTCGTTTATGTATTTGTATACATCCCCAAAGAAGGGGGACCCCACCGAGACAAAGAAATCAGTCTCCCCCCATCGTTCTTCTATTCTATATCGGATGGGCGTATGTCTTGTACGCGGAAGAGGGCTTTATCGACCATTAAAGTTATAGCGAGGGTACATTAAACATTTGTCGTTAGTGAATCTTTCTACAGTCAATTATTGTGGATATTTTTTCGTATATACAACCATTGTTCTGACTGCTAAATGTAAAATCGAGTGTTGTTTTTTTATTGTTGTACGTAAAATTGTGTCCCGCCACCCAAGCATTTGACATGTGAATGAATAATTGTTTCCTTAAGTTTATGGTCATTCGTAATTATGTCTGAGAAAAGTCATAATGGTGTGCCCTAACATTATTCTTCCAAGATTCCACTAGAATGGCGAAACCTTACATGTCCTCGTGTGGTAAATAGAAACAAAATCAATCGCATAAAGGGAAGTTATAGAAATAAGACATATGAATATCTGAGTTTGAGTAATCGCAAGTTGCTGCGCCAAAGATTGTCGTAGTGCATGCTCCCGAGCGATGGGACTCTGCTCTATCCGCATCGTTGCTCAGAATTCTGGGAATCGCACTGGCGAGTAAGTCGTCCCCGCGGGTCATCGACGGTCACGTGGTGCTCTTTCGTGGACTAGAATCCCTTTTCCTAGAAGTGGTCGTAAAGAGCGCGTAATAGAAGTTAAGATGCAATTCAGGTACGCGGATGGTGGCGCATAGCCATTTATTTCCTTCGGAGCTTTATTTCTGTAGAATCAGCCTAATTTTCATAACCCAGTGCGTCATTTGTGGTATCAGATCTCGAAGCTAGGAAATTAATTTAGAGCTTCTCTTAATGGAGTATTGAAACTTGTGCGTATTTCATTCAATGAAATAAGTTTAACCATCATTGTTAATGCAATAATGTATCAGATATAATATACCTCATATAAACATATGGTGGTATGTCGTGTAACAGTGTGTGGTTGTAGTGTGAGGCCATTAAAGTTGAGCTACAGATGAGTATAAACCCAATTCAGCTAATGGAGGCGCAAAAGCGGTCTTCTTGAACAAACTAGGTTGCATGTCCCCTACTTATACTACCTTCGTAATCACGCGCGCACATGAAAACACGATGAGAATTCACCGCTTAGCCCGTTTGCAGAGAACTAGCTAAACCTTGATGCCGATACGAAAAGAAATAACTGGGAAATGGTAAAATAATCATGCTCTAAGAATACAAGCTATTGTAGAAACATATGCTACTCCACAACATAACTTAAATAAGCATAAGTAGAATGATAATTAATAATGACTAATGATGAAGGTTAAAAGTGATATGTGTTACAATCACCTGGCAAGCCGGGAATCAGAAACCCGCTATGCCTACTTAATGAATCCGTCTTCACTTATTCTTTATAATATTTTCACTAAATTTCTAATAATAAATATTGATGACTTGAATAATTACTTTCAGACTTCCTCTCAACAACTTGTGTTGCTTAGTGATAACATATTTACATTGAGATCTCTAATTCAAGCAATTCCTATTCATTTACTAGTGTACAAAAATAATTTTTTTTAGCGTTTTAATAGTTTGAAACTGTGGTTAAAAAAATATATTTTTTCATGTAATGTTGTATTATTTATTGTGGTGCTAAATGGAACAACTGTAATTTAATAGATGAACTAAATAGAAAAGAGAAAAAAGGAACATTGTGTAATGGTATATCGACATATATCCAGGCTATGTAATCACTATAATTTAATATCAGATCTATGGACGTCAGACGTTGTGGGACCTTGTGAAAAAAATTTGAAAGGAAATTCAAGCCAGGACCAACATTTTGGATGTAGAAATTGGTAAATGGTTTCTAATCTTTGGTATTAAATTTGTTTTGCTATGATGTCAACAATTAGTGTAGGTGGCCATCAACCAGAAAGTTTTGTCAGTTGTACTCCTTATAACTATTGTGTTGTTTTTTTCTTCTTTTTTCTTTTCTTTTCTTTCTGTCATCTATTTTGTCATCTAGTTATCGTGTCAATGTTTACAGTCTATGTTACCAAGCTAACCAGAACATTGGCATCAGAACCTGTGAGTTTTGGTAAGAAGTATAATCCTTTGGTAAACTACTATTTTCCTTAGTATTGGGTTATCCCAGTTTAACTTACTTTCTATATATTAATCCACAGTCCTCTGTAAGTCATATATCAGGTAGTCATCGACAGAGGACCCCATGTAGCATCTTGCTTATGTCATCTTCTCCTGCCCGTCACTATCCAGCGACCTGAATTGCGGAAAGTCGAATTAGGAAGTGGTAGGCGTGTAGGACCAAGGATCTAGCCCTTGTTGAACAGCCAAAGATCATCTTGTCTGAATTAAATTTCTCATGAGATTCTCTGGCATCTCGAACCTTTTCCAAGTTATTTCTCAAGTATTGATAAAGAAACTATATTTCTTGTCCTTGTGTTCATTTCGAGATCGTCATTTACAGATACAATTGTAAATGAAATATATGTGTGAAAATATTTCATCTTTCTCTATTGCTTGGACGTGTATTTCCTAATCTTATATTCTTTGATCTATGCTCATAAATGGCGAGCGTTTTTCAAAACTCTAGGTCAAAAAGATCTTCCATTAAAAAGTGGGGTGTACCCATCATATGAGGCATTTATATCTCTTCTGTTAACAATTCTGTATAATATTTGAAAGGTTATGCTGATCCATAAGGTCTTCTACAGATAGTATGTTGAAGTTTTGATAAAGACCTAATTCGAGAGATGCCAACTGTGACAAAAGATGCAAACATATATTAACCCTACATTGGATTCTATTTGCATTTATTGGAGCCTTTTGAAAACACGATACCTCAATTGTGTTGAGAATTAATAAAAAAAACTACTATATTATCATGTGACTAATAAGAGACTTGAGCATTATTTTCTGTAGTGGGTTTAGTCATGATAGTTTGTCAGATAGCGATAGTTAAAACATTAGTTCTAACTCCTCTTTCTTGATTAAGAGAGTTGAATGTATAGCCAATGTGTTTGTCTTTCTGGGTAGAAGAAACGTATTCTAGAGAAGATATTACAATTTTCCTCTTTTATTGCAGTTTTCCTGTAAGAAGTAGCCCACCTTCACCTGAGGTTTTGGTGGCTCGTACTGCACCAGACACTCCACTCGACATGTCTACACGTGCACGTTGTTCCCCTCCACCCTACAGCAGCCAAACTGCACCACCAAGACCATCTGTCATTACATGTGCTCCAGCTGCAACAGTACCCTCTTCTGCAAATCATTCTTGGAACCAGCAACAGGAGAACAGTGGCAGTAATCGGCAAGGTCATCGTCGGGAGCTTCTTTCTGGTAGGATTTGGTTTCATTGTCTTATGCTTAGTTGATAGTTAATGATTTTTTTATAAAAAATAAATACTGTAGTGTCAATTCTACTTTTGGGTAATTGTAATTTATTAGTTAAATATACCTGACTTTACTTTCAACTTTGTAGAAATATGTGGAAACTTTTGAAGAGCTCATTGTAACTTGTGTTCATCTGATAAATGCAGTAAAAATAAACATTGTAAATGCAGTTTTAGCAGTTCTGCTTTTTATTGCTTTTAGTTAAAAAAAGAAGTGAAATTCCTGAAACAAGAAATCTGTTAAAATAAACTGACTTGTCTGTAAATATCTATATATATCAAAATGTAACTGCATCGTAAAAGATGTCGTCACAAAGAGATGATGATTAATTTTGTTCTCATGAAAATGATCTTTTGGCTCAACATTTTTTGACATTTATTGGAAGAATCTAAATATGTGATGTAAACATTAGAATCACAGCAGTTGCATGCAGTCCAGTCAATGGGATTGAAATGAATCTAGAATTTTTCTAAAGAAATATAAACAATTAATTTTGCAAAAATATAAATTGAAAACAGTAGACAACATTGGTGGCTGAATCGCTTAATCACACTCCATAACATCACAAAGGTTAAGCAACTCACGACACAACAAATTCCTAAATAGGGGACTATCTGGGAATCCACGAGAACTGCTCCAAGTCGCTAGTCGAAGGAACAAAAGGCAATGACTGACTAGGTAAATGGAGAATTACTCTATATAAAATGCCAGTACATGGTTAGAGAACATTGTTATGGAGAATGTTACAGAACAATTTTTTTATGGTAGTGTGATTAGACTGAACTTTTTTTATTATTAAAAATATTGAAAATGCTGAAAGTTCGTTTACCCTTAAACTACATTTGATCTGAAAGATGATTCTAAGAAAAGTAAATATTCAATATTTCATAACAAAATTGTAATGCATGTTGCAGGAATGTGTGATCCAGTTATTGATGAGCATTTCCGCCGTTCCTTGGGAAAAGACTATTTGAGTGTCTTCAGTGATGAAGCAAGTGATGTCAGTGGTGTGACTGATGTGAATGACAACAATGCAAACAGTGGCAACAGTATTACAGTGACAGGACTTTCAGGTAATCTTAATTCAAGCAATTTATTTCTACAAAGAGAATAAATTTGAAATATTTAAATAGAATTATGCTCTTCAAAATACTTTTGAACCTTTACTATCTTATTCCTCAATAAGCATTCAATAATATCTCTACCTAAATAAAACAATGGGTGAGCTAAATGGGTTTACTATTATTTTACTATATAACCCCCTTAGACCTCAATACATTTTTATCACTTGTGCAATGGCAGTAGCCCTTTTGAAAAATATTATTTCACCTGCTCTGCAAATCTGGTTCCACTGCTTTCTTAAGAATTCTTCCCTAAAAAAGAAAATCTTCGAATTTTTTCTTTCACGTTTAGGGGCAGAAAATAATTAAAGAGAGCAAGATCCGGGCTGTAGGGTGAATCACTCTCCTGGTGGAACCCGCTGGCTCATATTATAGCTTGAGATTTTACTGTCCTGTGCATTGTTGCCTTAATTTCTCAGAGGTAGCATCGGTACAATATTAAATACAGTGAGAAAATTAAAACGATCATAAAGTTGATATATGCGATGTATCAAGCAACCTTGTGAAGAAAATTATGAACTGCATTGTAGGTCCACTGATCCTATGCATAAACAAATGCTTGATAGAAGGGACTTATCCATGTTCATTGAAATTATCCAGTGTTGTGCCAATACACAGAAAAGGAAAAACTGTGCGAAAAACAATGGAACAGCTAAAATCTAGTGACGTACTGTGTAACTTAAGAAAATTAATAAGAATCTGGAATATTGAAATGTTATAGTGTAATTTGTTGTATTAATGTGCAATCAGTGGCAGAAATGCAGGGGGGAGGTCTATTGCCCCCCTCCCTTAAGGCCTAGAGTTTTCGTTTATTACCTTACTGTTCTCTAACCGGACTATTACTATTACTATAGACTTTGTAAATACTATTATACTTATTTTTTATGTATGTACCCGAAATGTAATAATTTGATGTTGCCTATTGCTGCGAACACAGCTTAATGACAAAAAAATTATTATTATTATTGCTGACATGTGAAAAAAGCAGCACATTGCACACTGATGCACTAGCCATTACTATTGCTGCCAATGCACTGTGCTGAAACAATATAAGCACCATGGCAAGACATGTAGCAGCATGCACAGACTTGTTCTGACATGCTTATTATTGGACATCATCGCGATGTTGATATATTAATGAACCCTCTTATGTATTTGACAATCTCAACTATCCAGTTAAGGTAAAAATATATTTTAAAAATTCACTGCTAATAAAATTGTCATTTTAAAATAAAATAAATTATAATTAAAATGTTGAAATGTGTTCATTTGCATGTCTCTTTGACAATTTCATTAAAACAATTACAAATGTGTAAAACTTACACCACAACAGAGTAATTTAGTTATTTTACTGATGTTTTTCATTGCATTTACTTTGTGGAAGTGAATGAAATAAACCCACACAGTGGATGAATTACAAGGACTTGAGATTTAAAGTAGATTTTAGTCAATAATGAAAATACTGACAACTTTTAGCTCCTATTGTCACCTCAGATGTTAAACTGTGGACTTGTATGTAATACAACTACATCTTACTCTACATTCTCTTAAGCTATGCCAGTGTTTTATTTTCTCTTGTTGTTATCCATGCTTTATTAACGTTAAAATCTGTACCATTTGGCCGCTAATAAATGTGAGATTCAAGTTAAATTATAAACAGAATTATTCTATAAAAACGAATTGTCTTACAACAAAGGTGGTAAGGAAAAAATTAAACTAATTTGTTCCATTTATTTTGTAGTGGATGACCATTTTGCAAAAGCTCTTGGTGACACATGGGTGAAATTGCAAGAGCAGTCTGCAGCAGAAACAACTTCCCGGTCAACTCCTGTGTCTTCACTTGGAAGAGACAAAAAGCCTGTGGTGCTGCCTCAGCAGCAACAGCAACCACCCCGTGGACTTGTCTCAATATAGGTTGTATACTTCTTCCCAGCCTTTTGTGCCCTCTTGCTTCCATGCAGTGAGCTGTGTTGTATATTTATCATGTCTGCTTGTAAACCAAACAACAAAGTTAACATGTAATTCATATACCCACAACAATTTCAACAATGCTGTCAATGTTGTCAACACTACAGGCCATAGACTGACGAAGCTGATGAATTCACATTATGGTGCTATTGGAATGACTTTTGGTGGTTTTCATGGCACACATTTCGCTAGTTGGAGTGAGTTTGGGAGGTTTGGAGTTTGTTGAAATGAGTGTGAGGAATTCACAAAATGCAGCAACACCTGTAGACATACATCAATATTGCTTTTGTGTGGCAGCTCAGAACAAAAAATTATAATAATAAGTGCTCTTTTCATGTTAAGTTATTTACCAAGGAACTGTTTTTGTTAATGAGAGTGTTTCTCAGAGCAATTTGATGGGGATAATTTGTAATAAAGGAAGAAATATGGTAATAATGAAAGAAAACTAACATTGCAATTGTTATTATGAAATATTAATATTGTGCTTTTTATTCATTATAAGCAGGAGTTTAATTTGTCCCATTAGTTTTGATAGGTCATCTCTTAAATGTAATATTTTCTTGTGTTGTCTAAAAGTGGGTGGAGATCAGGATTTTTGAAGCCTCGTTAGGCTCATTCTATGTTCTGTGTTATGGTATCAATAAAAACACTGGAGTAAAACAAAACATGGATGTACAATTCGAGACGAAGTATATTTAAGGAAGAAGTTTAATGATAGAGCACTTATTAGTTTCCTACTCTAAACATGGGGAAGAAAGATGAATTGGTAGCCATAGAATGTTTTGTGCTCACAACATTTAAATAAGAAACAGTAAGAAGCTTTCATTAATATTTTACTTCTATCAACCTATCTTTTGAAACAGTGTTTAGAAAAAGAAAAATAGCATCTGAATTTTGTTTGGGTGTTGTACATGTTAATTTTGCCCTGCAGACTAGTTAATGATGCGATGCTGAACAATCCATTTCTGCTGCCCACTGCCATATCAATGGCTAAATTTTAACAATACATGTCTCAAAAATTGTGTCTTGTCAGGAGAGAGAAGTTTTTCTTCACAAAGTATCATTACTGGCTAATAAAAATTTGACCAATTATCCATCATTTTAATAAGTATTGAGTTAATTTCTGGGATATATGCCATTAGAATGTGGTACAAAATTATCTTATTTTTTGATTTACATTATTTCCTTAACAAACAAATTTTGAAATATGTGTTGTTAAAATTTATTTATTGATATCTGTTTTTGCCTACTTTCTTTTAGAGACTGCTTTATTGACATATTCTCATAAAAGATATGAGAAATATTTATGCATTTGCTGTCAGGTACAGGGGCATAATACTGTCTGCTCGTTTTTACCTAGCCAAACTTGAACTTATGGATTGTTTTTATAATATATCTTCTGTAAAAATAACTTTAAACATATGTAGAGTTAAGTTATTTTTGGCTCTTCTATATAAATACAGGTATTACATTTTAACTAATTAATTGTGTAATAGAATGTTCACATTCAATTATATTGCTGGATGTATTTTTATATTAAAAAAAGAAACTGGTTGACAAAAACTGCTCTCTGGTGGAAGTAGTGTTGTTATTGAGGCAAATGCTTTGAAGTTTTGAATGCTACCCCATGAACAATGCTATTTTGTGCTAGCATTACTTTTCAGCTGTGATTAAAGAAACAATAGTTGGCAGAAGTGCCATCTGTCACACTTTCTTTTGATAATAAAAGAAATATTTGTGAAGCAATCAAACTACTAGCAGCGATCACTCTAGCAACAGGCTGCTATAGTTGTGCATTTCAATCAGTGAAGCACAAGCAAAATGGAATGTTTGATAAATTTTCACATTGTATAAGAGGGAGCAATGTATTGAAGCAGCTGTCTCGACAAAGAATGGGGTCTAAATTTACTGACCTATCAGTTGTATATTAGGGCTGTGATTTGAATAAAAAATTGCACCTTCCAGCGTACAGCTGAGTATTTAAACTTGTACAGTTTATTTGATATGTATATAATAATTATTACTATAATTTCACAACAGAGTGGATGTGAATGAAGAAATGTTCAAATAATAGATTTTGAAGTATAATGTTCATTTTTGTTTATCATCAACAGTTATTTTATTTAGAGATATTTTTCTTTTATGATGTTCTAGATTGATTGAATATCATAAGACTTTTTCTAGGAAAGGTTATAAAATTTATTGAAAAGAACTGAATACATTGTGTTTGTTTTTTTATAAGTAAACACATTTAATTCTCAACAGAATTAAATGTTTTTATAGAAATACCATTTTGTAATATCTTAATTGATGTAGTAAGTTAAGAACTGTTTTCTGCATTACATACCTGTTCAAATTAATTGTATTCATTAAATTACATTATCATTTACGACATGCATTTATAAATCACAAAATCCTTAATATTATTGTTTTTAGTAAAGATAAACGAGAAACATTACTACAAGAAAAGTGTGGTGCATATTTTGTATACCATAAACACAAACAACAATTGAAACACTATTGGAAAATGTAGCATTTTGTTAGTCATAAAAAATTACATACGATAATAGTTTACTTTAAAATGATTGCAGTACGGTGCTCAACAAGTAATTTGTTATTCTGATGTATGATGCTTTCCCATTGTATGTCTTGACATCAGTAATGTTGTTTGGCTCGTAAGCATTTGCCGCATAAATAGGGTATGAAAATAACCATCATGTACCAAGTACAATAAGATCAACCAACCAACCAAGTACAATAAGAATAAATACGTTTTAATTATAAAATTATTTTTCTTCAGTTTTCATCATAGGGAAATAAAAAAATTAATAAATATAAAAGAATTAAAACATAAACAGTGGAATTTAACAATTGTAATGAAAAAATTACTTTTTTCTACAAGAAAGAAACAATCACAAGCCAAATGGTTATCTGAAATTGCTGAAATGAACGTGCCTTAGGAATCTTAGCTTGAAGCATTGCAGATCAAGTCCTGTCTGAGGCATTGATGTTAGCTTCTGTGCATTTGTATGATTGGGACTTTTAAAAGCCTCCATGTATCACCCAAAGAAATAACCTTTCCTTTTTATCCTTTTGCCTGCCCTGGTTGGAAGCAGAAAGAGCAATGGAAGGGAGTTGGTTGTCTGCCTGTGATGAAATGAAGCACTGTCAGTGGGTCCACGAACCATGAGGTGGATGCCACTTGTCCATTATTTTTCCTTCCAACTGTAAAATTGTTTGAAGGGTATCTATGAGTATACGGGTCACAGGTAGCTATGTATATTCTATGGTTCTCAGCAGTGAGAAGGAATGGGAGGTTGATTCATATGCATCAGGGCATCAAATAGCATGACAAATACTGAGAGTGGAGGGACATTGTGAATTCCTAACAGAAAAAAATGTTAAAAGCCCAGAGAAGATGCTGAAGAAACAATAACTTTTACAGATTTTACTTTCTTTCAGAGAACTTTCAAGTTCAGAAAAATATTAATTATACATTTATGTAGTTTTGATAAACAATAGAAACTTATTTTATTTTCAAGAAACAACATGATTTCATGAAAAACTCTCAATAAGAGTAGTATTTAATGTGATGGAATTTATAGACAGCATGAAATATGGCTTGAAATTATAAATCAACTGAACTCAATCAACATCCATAATTTAGACTATTTATTACTATAAAAGACTGAACACAGTTCTCGTTTTATAGTGACAATGTTGTTTCCTTAGTAAAGAAATATTATTTCAAAGAATGGTGCAAATCATCAGTGTCTCTCGTGTAAAATTTTTGGAGGACACTGAAGGAAGTGATTAAATTCTAGTACCTCCCTAGACTTTTAGATTAAGCTACAATAATTTTTTATCAGTTAACAAGGTGTACATGGTAGATTAAGGAAAGTCAAGTTGTGTCGCAACTAATCATGAATTCAATAATATACTCAGACAAACTTTAACTTGTGGTGCTACAAAAGCACATACTTTCTAGCAATAATACAATGTTATCATTATGAGTTACAGTATACCCATGTATGCTTCATTAATTTCAAACAAATTATTTGAAAACTACTAACTTTTACAAAAAATTGAACATGACCTGTTTTAAAGAGCTAAATGTCTACAACAAACAATGTTTGAAGCAAAAATCTCTTATTTTTTACCATCTCTTATTACATATGTGGAAAAAATTTGAGCAGTTTTTGAGAAAAAAAGTTTCGTTAATTTCATGTACAAATTTTACAAAAATTACTCCTTTTTCAAAAAATGTACCTATATGACCTTTTTTAAAGAGCTAATTTTGTACAACAGACTTTGTCGGAAGCAAAAATCTTTATCTTCAATTTTGTAGTTTTGAAAATTGTTTTTGCTGTTTTCGAAAAATTAGGGATTTCAACAAAAATAAGACCTGCACAATTCTCTTAAACATCCTTCCTACTATTCATGAACAAAATTTAATAAAAAAAATTGGAGTCTTTTTTTTTTTTAATGTCCATAGGGCTTTATGTACAGTACGCCCAAAAAAATAAAATATCAGTTTCAAATTCCAGGGGCCGCGACATCAGCCAGAATGATTAGGGAATATCAATTTTGGAGAAAATTGGCCGAGCGGTTTTATGCCGTTTAAGTCGTTTTGCCGTCAATTGATTTTTCTCTATCAAGGATCCACAAACATGAATTCTGGGTACTCAGGTGTTGGAGGATTTGTTTTATAAATTTACCAAGTAGTTTATCTACTTTCTTGTTACCAGGGCCCGACAATAAGAATTTTTGTGTTGAAAATTCACTGTTTCCCGGCGTACGATTACAATACTTTCTTTTCTTAAGTGGTAGAAAGTAAAAATGATTATATATAGCCATGAAGACCATGGGAGCCGTGGTTAGAACAGTAGTTTTGCTCATTAATATGTATGTGATCCTGTATATGTATCCTGTGAACACACAATGATGGTTATATGGCTGTTTGTTGTTTTTTATCTATCAAAATAATTTTTTATTGGGAAAACGATAGGTTCAATACAATTTTTTGTTAAATTTTGAACCTTCAGCTTCTACCTGAATTTTACTGGAATGCAAATGTTGTAATAGTAGGAATAAGCTGGAAACTTTTAACTGTTGAAAGTTTTGGAAATTCACAGTTCTTTATTTTGTTGATAGCTTTGACAAAGAATGTTCCTATATTAATGATATTTTCTCCTTATATCACAACGTCAGTCATCATCTTTTTATTTCACAGTCTGAATGTGATATAAGGAGAAAATATCATTAATATAGGGACATTCTTTGTCAAAACTATCAACAATATAACGAACTGTGAATTTCCAAAACTTTCAACAGTTGAGTTTCCAGTTTATTCCTATTATTACAAAATTTGCATTCCAGTAAAATTCAGGTAGAAGCTGAAGGTTCAAAAATTAACAAAAAATTGTATTGAACCTATTGTTTTGCCAATAAAAAATAATTTTGATAGATAAAAAACAACAAACAGCCATATAACCATCATTGTGTGTTTGCCCCATTGTCCTGAAATGACTGGGGGGTTGCTTGAATGCATCAGACTTTCACATGTGTCGAAATGAACGTCAAAACTTCAGGATAACTATGTTTGCAGTCACCACAAAGAATTTCTACCCTTGGGCCTGCAGTCTACTCATTTGACACTGATGATTAAAGGAAATGATGGAAATAATTAAGAAATAAGAGGAAGCAGAAACTTCCACAAAAACTGATAATTCGCATTATCCACCACAAATTCTACATGGTCTGGGAATTAGACTGTAAAAGATATAAGGAATACTTAGTAGTTGTTTGCGTTTTGGTCAAAAAACAATAATTAATGAATGTATGTTCAAAAATTAATATGAAATGAAAGAACATTTCTTATTCATCATTATTCCCTCTTATTAAGGAAAAGTTTAATATAATGTATGCATTATTAATAACTTATCTTCTATTACTATCAACAAAGCAATCGATTTCATTTTCTCCTAGAAGACCTTTGGCAATTTTTTTCACTTATATTCAGTAAAAAAATATATTGAGATATTTGGAAGTAATAGTTCTTGACGAAACCATGACCACATTATTCATAATTAATTTACAATAATTCTTTACCAAATCACAAACTCCGAAGTATTTGACTTTGAAGTTATAACAATAAAAACACTAGCACACTCAAATCAATAATTGTTTTACTTCGTAAACATATTAACAAAATGTAATTGAAAAGATAATACAAAATCACTATTAATTAGCATTTTAAGTAAGTTTATATTTGGAGTAACATATCAATATGAATTAACTCTATAATTTATTTAAGAATTCTTAATCTATTTGTTAATATACACCAAAAGTATGCCAAATAAAAGAATATTAAGTTAATTAAATAACGAATAAAATATAATTATCACAACAGAAAATATTAAACTTCTAAAACGTATTATATTGTGCTTTGGAGTTAATGTATTTTGATCTGTTACTCTTCATACAAAATAGATTTTAAAAACTCTATGTACCAACCTGTACAATCAGTTGCTTCCTGCTTTTTCAACTTGGAGCACTTAAAAATTGACACATCTACAAAAACGCAGATCAGACAAGTAAAAGCACTGATTTCAAATGGTGCTAGAGTAGCAATAAGACATCTTACCACCTATCTGAAACCAGTACTCAAGCAAGTCGCTCATGCAGCAATAGCTCAATTGAATGGTTTTCATGACAATGCATGATGTTCTTCTTTCAAAACGTTTGTTTGTAGAACCACGTATGTTAGAGACTGTGTTCAGTAAAGGTCTGCATCTGGCAATGTTCACACAGAAACTAGCTGATGGGGACAGGTACATGCAACTTAAGAGGACAGGCTCAGTTCTGGTCTGTAGCTTCTACACAAAGCAGAAAACATATAAGGTGTAAGTCTAACCTCTTTGTACACCTGATACCTTGTTCTTTGTGATACATAGAGAAACTGCAAGCCTAAAAATGCAAAATATACGGCTGTTAGGCACAGAAAGAAGGAAGAAAATGTGGTGTTAAAGAAATGGAATATAATCTGAAAAATGTGATTTGTAGATACCAACCGATTTTAGTTCTAACTGTACATGAAAATGAGTTTTTAATTGATTGTTAATTTTGAAATTGCCCATTTGTTGCAATTAAGTATTTCACAATTGTACCATAAATATTTTTGCATGAAATCATCTTGCTAGAAACAATTATATCAAAACGTATGTGTGTGTGTGGAGGGGGAATCATCTAAACTATAGAAAAATTAAATTTATAATACTATTTCTAGCAAATTGAATTCTTGATTCTGTGGTTTTAAATAAGAGATTTTCAACCCGCTCATGAAGCCGATTTGTTGAGATTGGATTTATTTTCCTTCTAGAAATAATAATATAATTAAGTTCCGAAAAAAAAAATAATTATAATATAATTGTTCATTATTGAATACTTCACATAACTTATTTTTATGAAAGAAAATGCATTCATTGTATTATGAAGTATGTAATAATTATGTTATTTACTTCCTTAAGTCTAATAAAAATAATTTATAGCTCTCAAAGGCATTAAGCAATAAACAAAAATAACAAATACAGTCAGTTATATATTACATTAAACACAAAATAAGATGCCAACCCTGCTTACAGTACCTGGCATTACAGCAGTGTTCGTTTTATCCTGTCCTTGCCCTGAATTTCTCTTGGTCTTGTTCTATCGCCACAGCCCCTCCGGCAGCAACCTTACTGAAAAGCAGGTAATACGAGCTTACACTGAAGTATCCTGTGTTGCTTGACACTTGATATGACCTGGTCCCTGGTAGCAAAGACAAAAAAATACCACCACTCCTCCACAATGAGGTTAGAAC